CGGCACTGATGGGCACTGATAGGCGGCACTGATGGGCACTGATAGGCAGCACTAAAGGGCACTGATAGGCAGTACTAATGAGGTGGCACGGATAGGCGGCACTGATAGACAGCACTAATGAGGTGTCACGGATAGGCGGCACTAATATGCAGCACTGATAGGCGGCACTGATAGGTGACACTGATGATAAGTACTGATAGACGGCACTGACTGGCATCACTGCTGGGCACTGACTGGCGGCACTGACTGGCGGCACTGACTGGCACAACCCCTGGGCACTGACTGGCAGCACTGCTGGGCTGCACTGGTGGATGGCACTGGTGGGCAGCACTGGTGGGTGGGCACAGGTGGGTGGCACTGGTGGGCACAGGTGGGTGGCACTGGTGGGCACAGGTAGGTGGCACTGCTGGGCACAGGTGTGTGACACTGCAGAGTGGCACAGGTGGGTGCACTGCTGGGCACAGGTGGGTGATCTGCTGGGCACAGGTGGGCGGAGCTAGTGGGCGCACTGCTGGGCACAGGTGGGCGGAACTTGCGGGTGGCACTGCTGGGCACCGATCATCAGGGCACTGATCATCAGTGCCCTGATGATCGGTGCCGATCCCCGCTCTGACAACTGCCGGTTCTCGGCAGTACTTTCCTCACAATCTGACAGCGTGAGGAAAGTGCAGCCGAGATTCGGCACTTGCATTTCCCTCTGATCAGCGTGTCATTGGACATCGCTGATCACGTGGTAAAAGGCCGCTGTGATTGGCCTTTTACCACATCACGTGATCAGCTGTGTCCGTAAGACACAGCGATCACGGAGATCGCCGGGTGCGCGCCCCCTGGGGCGCGTAGGAGAGCACGTTCTGGGAGGACGTCATATGACGTCCACTCAGAACTGGCCGGCCGCAGTGTAGCCGTCATTCGGCTATCTGCGGTCGGCAACTAGTTAAGCTTTGCCAAATAAATCCGTTTAGTATTACAATGTATATATATTGTGCAGTGTGTGTCTTGACCATAGAGCTTCATAATAAGCAGAACTCGCATTCACACTTTCATGGCCATAATTCAAAATGCACTATGGACAATGTGCAGTAGCCCTTTCCATCCAGTCACAAATCTTCAACTGCTGTTGAAAGATGGGCTAACCGGTTGGTATGGGTTACTGTGTACCTTTGTTTCTTCCTTTATAAGCCATTAGAAGAGACAATTCGATTGAACGCAAAGCTGTATCTTGAGAGCGAGCTGCAGGTGGTTATAAAGAAGATGAGATGCGCGGGCAGAGGTAAGAGAAAAGCCGGGGGGATGAAAAGGATACAGGCAGTCGGTGCTATCCAAGGTTATTAGCTTTCTTTGAGTTATGGTTTAAACATTGAGAAAGACACGACAAAGTGATGACACCAAAACCTTTCCCAGGAGGCAATAATTTCCTGCTAGACAAGACTTTCCTTCCTGTCTCAGCACCTCTACTTCTATTTGTATGCAGCAGGTATACCTTGTATTATGCCCCCATGTCTCTTTGATTGGAACGTCGGAGATTCTGCTCCAGGCCTGGGGGCTTTTTATTATTTTTGAACCATATACGGCGGTGCTGAGACCTGGGTTACTAAGGTAACAACTGTAAGAGAAGCCATAGGAACATAACAGTGCTTATAGGTTAACACTGGCACATGAACATACACTACCAGATTACTATCATAGACACCATTACATCTCATTACATTGAGTTCCAGACAGATATAAAAGAGATAAGTTAAAAAATATGTCCACTTTCCAGTGGCATTCAGTGTACACTTCTAAAGTGACGGAATTCAATACCCTTACCAAATATATAAGGTAAGTAAACGTTTTAATCCAGAAGAGGGTACACATCTGCAATGTCCACATGGATGCCTTCAGATCCTTTGTATACACACTCCACAGTACTCATGATTAAAATCACTTAAAAGCGCATTATTCCCATGACTTCAACCTTAAGCAGCTTCCAGGAATGCCAGGCAGTGTTTTTCCCACACTAAAAATGGCAGCTCCGCTACTTCGGATCCTCTGGGTAACGTCCGACGTCACGTCCCTTGACGCGTTTCGTCACTTCCTGGACTTAATCATAAGGGGTGTGAACTAAAAGTCTAAAATAAAAAAAAGTGAGCAGGCGGGCTCTATATAGCAGGAGAAATACTGCCTGTAGTGTCTCTGCTACAATAAAATAAACCTACCTTCCTGCTTTCAGTCTGCTATAGAATGTACACTGAGCCTGTGCATGCACAGCTCAGTTTAAATCCCGACACAGTGCCAGTGTGCCAGGGTGACTGCACTCCTGCGCATGTGCAGAAGTGACGTCAACCTGTATCGGCCAATCAACGTGACCGAAGTCCAGCACCTGGAAGAAGCAGGGGAGAAGATGCCATCGCCAGAGCCAGCAAGAAAACCTTTGGGCCTTGGACTTTATAGCGATAGTAAATGCTGCTTTTTTTTCCTGCAGCAGATATAAGAAGCGCCACAGAAAATGCAAAATAAATCAAATAATAAGCAGCACCTCTAACCAAAAAAGGTAAAATGGTGTACAAATAAAAAGTGCGCTAATTATTCACAAAACATGCAAGGATAAATAATAAAAATAAATGAATTCATAAATATAAACATAAGTCCAGCCACCATAACAGGGATAGTCCAATATCAACTTAATGTCAATCTTGAAAACAAACACCCATATGCAAATCCGACACCAGATGAAATGAATACACTCACCAGAGCTATATGCTGATTATATTATAAACCAGCATGATAGCATTTTGCTCTGGGAGCGATGATCTGCAGGATATCCCAGTACAGGAACAGCAACCAATAGTGATCCAATCAGCACATATGGAACAGCTAGGCAGCACATATGGAACAGCTAAGCAGCAAATGATCTTCCAATAACATGGGCAAAGCTTGAGGAATAAGAAGAGATATGATGGTGCAGTATGTTTAAAACCAGTAAAATTTTATTAATAAAGTATTGCACTCACAAAGAAGGTGTCTAGCTGACACCAGCAATGACAGCCTCTAAAATGCCACATCCACAAGGGAAAAACCAAGGGACGAACCTCCTGCACTGCGATCAACACAACCGACAGCTGGGAGGAATGTTCCAACGTCACGCCCACTAGGCCAGGCCCAACGCGTTTCATCACTTGATGTCTTCCTGTGTCTACAAGAAATGTAGGTACAGTGACTATCTCCAAAACAGGCACCTTTTAGAGGATATATACATATGTAGCAGCCGGTTAATTCACAGATGCAAGCGCACTGTGCTCTCAATGGACAGCATGCCATCCATTGAGAGAGCTGTGCCACAACCGAAACTCCCACGCACATTGTGGCTTGGCCTTTCAAATGGCCAGAGCCCGCAAACCCAGAAGGAAGACGAAGTAAGTTTGTATAAGTCTGAAAACTAGCACATTATGACATGAGCCTGCACGAGGGCTAGTTTTTTTTTTTTAACAAGTCTACTACCGCTTTAATACCACTTCAGTGCAGCTCTGTATTCATTATTAAATTTTTACAACTGAACTCCAGGCACACAGTTAATGCACAGATGAAATATATACTATATATGGGAGCTATATTTCCTGCCAAAGGATTTGTATTTTTGTCCATCCAATCCTGAGACTTACACAGCTCTTCCACACAGCAAAGCCCTGCCTGGCAGGGCAGGTGACCTGATTTTTCTCTGCTGCAGTTTCTCTGTTTTGAGTGCAATGGCATACCACTTATGCCCAGACAGTATGGCCATTTTCAGACTTGACTTGATCACCTCCCTCCAGTGCCCCCATCCCCAACTAGTGTCCTTTTGGACATTTACCCCTTGGCACCGGCGCCTCCCAGCCCTTTAAGGGTTCCAGAAGCCGGGAGGCGGGGCGGGGTTTTAGGGTCATGTGACCGCCGTGATTCGCTGTCACATGATCAGGAAAGGTCCCGATCGAAAGAGGAGACTGGGACCTTTTCATGAGTACCGAACGTGCGTGCTGGGAGCGCGCAGGGCGCATGCTCTCAGCACATATGTTTTTTTTAATAGACGCCACTCGGCGTCTAGGCCCAAACACTAGGAGGCTGCACATTTGCATTCAGCCGGCGCCAAGAGGTTAAACACAGTTGGTTGCTGCTAAAACTGCCAGCACAGTTGGTTGCTGCTAAAACCAGCTGCTGAACTTTTCAGTGTTTATTAGGACAACATACCATTTTGCAGTAGATTCTTCACACTTCTCTTTTGCTACTCCCTTAACATCTCTAGTATTCACATCAATTTGTATTTCAACTTTTAGAATTATCAGTCACTACCTCACATTCTGACTCCACATCTCAACAAGTTAAAAACATCAATAGATTTCATTGTTTAATTTTTCGCCATCATTCTTTCTCCTATTATACACCATTAACTTTGCATTACATTGTAAATTCCAACCCTAGTGTTCTATTGATTTTACTAAAATTTACTGTGTGATTTACTTCACCATAATTTTAAATGGCAGATTTCATCATCATTAATGTTTAAAATGTCTTAAATCGCTATCGTTACAAATTCTGTGCCACTTCAATCTTACAATTAAAAAAAAGTATATAATTACTAACCACATTTTAAATTCTCAATAACTTACGTTCTCAATAACTTACCTATGCTAATTTTTACAGTGCCTTCCATATAGGTACGTATATGGATGTATCTCTGCCCATGTGTCTGTATGTATGTATGTATTTGTAGACAGGTGCCTAAAATGTTATTACAGTATAGTATGCACTAAAGCAGTGGTCTCCGAACTGCAGCCTGGGGGCCGAATGCGGCCCTTTTCTTGCTTTTATTTGGCCCTTGGGGCACTATTTCATTTACTGACACCAATAATGGGACAACGTTCCTCCCAGTGACACCAATGATGGGCCATGGTTCTTCCCAATAACACCAACAATGGGGCCCAATGGCACGAATGATGGGGCATAATTCCTTCCAATGACACCAGTGATGAGGCACAATTCCTCACAATAATACCAATGATGAGGCACAGTTCCTCCCAATGACACCAACAATGGGGCACAGTTCCTCCCAATGACACCAACAATGGGACACAGTTCCTCCCAATGACACCAACAATGGGGCACAATGACACCAGTAATGGGGCACAATTCCTCCCAATAAATCCAGTGACGGGGCACAATTCCTCCCAATTACATCAACGATGGGGCACAATTCCTACCAATGACAAACAATGGGGCCCAATTACACCAATGATGGGGCACAACTCCTCCCAATGACACCAAGGATAGGGTATTGTTTGCTCCAACTGATGCTGGGACATTTTCAACTCCTGATGGTCACAGTGCTGCACCTCTAAAGTCTTAAGGACCATAAACTGGCCCTTTGTTTAAGATGTTTGGAGACCCCTGCACTAAAGGATTAATGTTTGGTGACTAGGGTGAAGGCTAGGTTCACATTATTGTGGGTGCTGGAATGTGTGTAAATATCACCCGTTCCTGCCCCCCCCCCCAGGCACCCGAAGGCAAGATGCGCTGCTCTTTAGCAGAAATATCTGAAAACACAGAAGGTTTGGGGGTGTGAAACTGCACCTTGTGGTTCCATGAGGCTGTCCTGTGTGTGCGTTTTGGGGTCGAGGATCTTTTCCCTGCGTTTCCAGCAGGTACAGTATCCCATTCAAATGAATGGACTATTGTGTCTATGCAAATGCAGCACCCAGGACCCAGGATAAAGTGAAGCCTAACAGTGTGTGCTATTGTGTGCCTTCCTCCGCATGTTTCACTTCCTGTGCTTTGGGAGATGATACAGTATATACTAGTGGAAGTCGGACTTCATGGTTTGTCCATCTATGGGAAGTGAGCAGTGAGGACAAGTGAGGACAACCTGAGTAAACATGTGAACTGAATGGTATTTGTGGAGCTGCACCATAGCAGGACCCTAGTATGGGTTGGAAGACTAAGTTATCTGTATTTTCTTGTGGGGGACAATACTGATGTATTGGTGGACACCATTGCACACCACAGCTGCAGCCAAGTACAGCATTTATAATAAGGGAGAATGACAATGTCTTGTGTGTTCTGGATGTTGCACTATATCATGTTGCCATGGAAACTACAGTTGCAAGAAAAAGTATGTGAACCCCTTGGGATTACGTGGAGTTTTGCATGAATTGGGCATAAAATGTGCTCTGAACGTCATCTAAGTCACAACAATAGAAGAACACAGTCTGCTGAACATAATACTACACAAACATTAGATCTTGCCATGGTTTAATTGCACATAACATGTAAACATTCACAGTGCAGGGAGGAAAAAGTATGTGAGGCCCTAGCTTAATGACTTCTCCCAGAGCTAATTGGAGCCAGGAGTGAGCCAACTGTGACTCCAATCAGTGTGATGATATTGGATGTGTTGCTGACAGCTGTCCTGCCCTTAAAAAACACATACCTGTTTTGGGTTTACTGGTTTCAAGAAGCACTGTCTGATGTGAACCATGCCCCGCAGAAAAGAGCTCTCAGAAGACCTACGATCAAGAATTGTTGACTTGCATGAAGCTGGAAAGGGTTACAAAAGTATCTCCTTGAGCCTTGATGTTCCTGTGTCCACGGTAAGACAGACTGTCTACAAATGGAGAAAGTTTAGCACTGTTGCTACTCTCCCTAGGCGTGATCGTCCTGTAAAAATGACTGCAAGAGCACAGCGCAGAATGCTGCATGAGGTAAAGAAGAATCCCAGAGTGTCAGCTAAAGACCTACAGAAATCTCTGGCACATTCTAACATTTTTGTTGACACATCTACAATAAGGAAAACATTAAACAAGAATGGAGTACATGGGAGGACACCACGGAGGAAGCCATTGCTATCCAAAAAGAATATTGCAGCACGTTTGAAGTTTGCAAAAGAGCACCTGGATGTTCCACAGCACTACTGGCAAAATATACTGTGGACAGATGAAACCAAGATTGAGTTGTTTGGGAAGAACACACAACACTATGTGTGGAAAAAAAAAAGGCACAGCACACCAAGTTCAAAACCTCATCCCCACTGTAAAACATGGCGGAGGGAGCATCATGGTTTGGGGCTGCTTTGCTGCCTCAGGGCCTAGACGGATTGTTGTCATTGATGGGAAAATGAATTCCAGAGTTTATCAAGACATTTTGCAGGAAAACGTACGACCATCTGTCCGCCAACTGAAGGTCCGCAGAGGATGGGTGATGCAACAGGACAATGACCCAAAGCATACAAGTAGTTCAACAAAACAATGGCTGCAACAGCACAGAATACGCCTTCTGGAGTGGCCCAGTCAGAGTCCTGACCTCAACCCCATTGAAATGCTGTGGCATGACCTTAAGAGAGTGATTCACACCAGACATCCCAAGAATATTGCTACACTGAAACAGTTTTGTGAAGAGGAGTGGTCCAAAATTACTCCAGATCGTTGTGCAGGTCTGATCTGCAACTACAGGAAACGTTTGGTTGAGGTTATTGCTGCCAAAGGAGGGTCAACCAGTTATTAAGTCCAAAGGTTCACATACTTTTTCCTCCCTGCACTGTGAATGTTTACATGTTATGTGCAATTAAACCATGGCAACATCTAATGTTTGTGTAGTATTATGTTCAGCTGACTGTGTTCTTCTATTGTTGTGACTTAGATGACGTTCAGAGCACATTTTATGCTTAATTCATGCAAAACTCCACGTAATCCCAAGGGGTTCACATACTTTTTCTTGCAACTGTACATCTGGTCTGATTTACTTTATGAAGAGAAAGAGTGTTGGTCCTCACAATGTATTGGTAAACTTGGGAATGGAGTGTACAACTACAAGCTATGCGTTATGAAATGAGTAGTAATAAAAAGAAGGGCGCGGGAGCGGTCGGAGACAAAGGTTTCATAGGCAGCAAGTGCCAGGCTAGCCCTACTGAGTGCCTGGGTCCCTATCTTAGGGCCTGCTGCAGAATGGAACTCTTCTAGGGACTGGATCTGGGACTACATTCAGGAGGCCTTGCAAAGTAAGTGCAGTGGCTCCCATCCTTGCATTTGGGTGAAACATGATCAAATATACAGTGTGAGAACAGCTGGTGGAGGGAAATCAACGCTCAGCGATATTCCCCTTCAAATGACTCTGTAATTGGTGCCAGAACAGGTGTCACTGGTAGGTCTAAAGGACATTATCCTTCTGTATGTAGGGCCTGGTGAAGTGGTTTGGCCTCAAGGAGGCCATGAACCCACATGTGTAACAATAAAAAACAAGCAATCAGCTTGCAGTTCCCCCATGCTAACATGTTTATATACAGTATTGTGATATGAGGGATGTTTAGCTCTCGTGGTAGATGCAGTTTTAAATTGAATTCACATCAGTCCAAACTATAGTTAAGGGTTTGGTAGCCCAAATATAAGCAAAAGTAACGGTCTAACACATGCAGAATACCCATGGAGGGGTTCTTCTCCACCAAATCCAAATAATGGAAAAAAATACCAAGCTATCTCACTATTAAGGCTCACTCAGCCTTGGTTTGCAGTACCTTGCTCCATGGGCCCACTCCTGGCCTTGAAATAGGGTTTTCCAGCCCCCCCAAGGTTTGCTTACTCCTACATGGACTTCCAGACTTCCTCTAGCCCCTTGGACCCAGTAGCCGCCTCAGCTTTCTCAGCCTCCCAGACCTTCTTTTGGTTTCCCAGACCTGAGTAGCTGTCCTGACTTTCACAGTCCTTGAATGAGAAGTCCCCCCCTCACCAGGAATGCAGTCTCTTGTAGGAACACCCAGCTCTGCTGACAGGGCTCTGTCTCCATACAGCAGCAACTGAAACAACTGCCCTGAGCTGTCCTCAATCTGGGATTATAATGATCCTGTATACCTGTGCATTTACACAGGCTGTAGGAGTCCCATAAAGCCCAGACACATAATTGAAGGTTTGCTCCCACCCAAGACACTTCGGAACCTTGAAACTCCAGACTCTGATCCAGAACTACCAAGGCCAGAGAAAACTCAGTTTTCTGTACTCACACAATACCTGCTGGAGCTTCTCAAACTGAATCTTTGAGAGTCCTGTGTCATCTCTATATCAATTTACTAACTTCACATAGTGGGAGGGTCTCGACCCCCCCCTTTTTTTTTGATCCAGAGGGCACAACACCTGCGCCCATGATTGTGGTTAGACACCTCTGTGCTGGCTGGCTGCCACATAGGCCAAACCCTTTTTCTTGGTGTGCTTCCAGATATATCCTACCCTGGATCTCAGTGGGGTCCTACAGTTATTTAAAAACACGCCTTCTCCCTCTTTCTTGGGGTCCCTGGGCTCATATTTATTTTCTGGGGGAACTCTGTCCTCCCTTTCAACTCACTTTCCTGGAGTTGTAGGCAACCTGCTTCTGATACTGCACCTTACGAGGAATCACCTTTTTCCTCACTAGTACCAGTTTCCACAGTAGGTCTTTTAGGTTCAAGACACTTTTCTGGTTACTCTTGGCAACCAAAACCTTATTCACAGGATCATTTGAATCACATTTTTCACAATTGTCAAAAAAGGCCTGAGGAAGGACCACACAAATACAAGCGACTATTCCCCCAAGGGATCTTCGCAAAGCTTCACCTTACTTGGTGTTCAACACTCTGTGGGCAGTTGTCCTAACAGCTGACATTCAGTAAAGCACAAACCATTGCTCAATGTGATAATCCCCACTGATGTACTCATTACACTGTCACAGTCACCAATACTATTAGCACTTTTTTCCACAGTGTTTCCAGGTACCTCAACTTGTACCTCTTTGCGAATGACAGAAATAATCTCTGCTGTTGCCACATTTATTCTGGACCCTTCCTTCTCCAGTATCTGCACCCTTTACTAACCACTGCCCAGTCCTTTACTTCCCCTTTATCTGAGATTTACAAAACCAGTTTGCACCAGTCCACAGCTAATTCACACATGGCTGGGCTTTCTGGTCTGGCTGGGGATTGCACAGGTTGTAAAATCCCCTCTAGCCATAGTGCTCTTTCCCTAGTTTCAGCGAGAATTGCATCGTTTTTCTGCTTCGATCGCCCCATCCTTGCACTCACAC